GAAGAAACTTTCTCCTTCCATCGGCCCTAAGCAGGCTATGGCGCCAACCGCTTCAGTTCCAAGTTAGCGCCGGAAACCTCCAGCACCTACAACTTGCTTACAGTAGTACAAATGCATATATATGTATATACTTAATTCGTTTGTTACCATGTAGGCGTTTCTTTGAGGAAGAGGAAACGTCGGGGTTCCCACCTGGGAGATATAAGTACTTCAAGTACTTCCGAGCTCGATGGTGAAGATGATGAGGCTGATTTTGCATATATGGAAAGGAGTGAGGAATCCATCAGCGACATACCGGCTGATCATGCATGCGATCGAGGTGATGAGGGTGAAGTTGGTGATGGCGGTTTAGCTGACTTAGATCATCCTTTGGAGGAACCGCTCTGCTTAGACGCCCCCCTTGAATTCGTCCATGACGCCACAACCTCCACGCCACATAATGTTGATTTGGTATACTTTATTTGTTGTATTTGTCTTGATCCTGTGCATGCTATACTTTTTCCCGATTGATCCATATTTTTCTTTTTTATCTTGCAGGTGGACAATTTGATAGACATGTCGGGGTATGACCCTTCTTGTTATGAGTTGGAAGATGCATTTAGTGCCTTTATGGTTTTCTTCGACAGTGACACAAGAATACTTAGATCCTCCGACGAGCTTCTTCCACTGTGCTACGAATTCCAGGGTTATGAGACATTCCGAGGAGCGCAAGTATTCCCGGAGACAGTGAAATCTTTAAGTAAGTTCTTTGATAGCTATGAGGCTCGTATCGAGAGTGCTCGCAATCTATCCTTTTCTTCGAAGAATCTGGCCTTTCGTGGTCTTGGTCTGTCTTTATACGGCATGGATGTCACGTCATATTCGGAGATCTCTGACCATAAACTTCTTTGTTGGAGAGATACAATCCGTGACGCTATCTCATATGGGCTTCAAGTAGGTTTCCTGCTTGACATATTGAAGATGAGGCTAGCTCGTGCTGTTTTTGAGACACGGGCTGCTTGCGGTGCAGCGATATCTACTCAATTCCTCAAAGTAGGGGCAACAACTCAAGCTTTGAAACTCAAACATCAGGAATTGGACAGTGAATGTCACAAGTTGCGTGAGCTCTTACTTGAAAAGGGGATTTCTTCCAATAATGCTGGCTACGTATTGGAGGCTGCGAAAGGGTCACCTTGCAATGCCTCATCCATATTGTATGATACACACTAGTTGAGGTTTGCATTTTGCTTCATTTTCTATATACATTTTTCTTTTTT